TGGCCGGCACCTTCCTGGTGCTCCATCAGCTCCAGGTGGAAGTCTTTGTACCTGTGATGGCTGAGGCCCAGGCAGAGCGCCAACACATGGCAGGTGCTGTTTGAAGCACCCGGTACGTAACGTCGTGAATCTGCATGACCACCCTCGGAGGAAATGGTGGCAGCTGGTTTTGGAGCGGGGACGTTGTGGTGCAGTCACCGTGGTGCTTCTCCCTGAAAGCGCTGCGGGTCAGAATGCGTCAGCTTGAGAGGAAGCGCTTTTGTAAATTAAGGAATGCTCCTAGGAGAAGAATAAAATCTCTAAATTTGCATACGTTATTAAATATTTCTAAGTGTCAAATGCCAGATTTATAAGAAAAAAATTCAGGAAACATAAGCATGCTACAGTGGGCAAAAAGTAACGGATGTAATTTATCTAGGGGAAGGACTGATACATGTTGAATGAAAAGATGATGTGATCTATTCAGATCCCTAAAGAGAGAAAGGAAGACATCATGTAAAGATGACCTCTCAGTGTTCTTGCAGTGGCTTACTAAACCAGCCAACATTTGGACTTGAGAGAAGGCCACCCGAAACACAAAGGAAACATCTCAGAGGGAAGTCAGACCATTTCCGAGTTTCTCTTCTTTAGGGAAGCGCACTGTTCCTCAGACTCCGTTCTGTGTGCACGCAGGGCAGTGACAGACACAGTGCTCCGGTGAGATTTCGCTGTGGTGCTCACGACAGCAGAGTAATTGGGGCTGGAAATACGTACTTATGAAAGAGTCCTGTCTCTGAGTCATGCTGTGACACACATGGCCCTGAAAACCACAGTGGCTTACTACAGCAAAGACCGCTTTCCTCCTCAGTATGGGTCTGACACGTTGGCAGGTGCTCTGCTCATCGTGGTCCCTCGGGGAGCCCTCCTGGACACGTGCTTCCAGGACCACTGGGTACGAAGACACAGACGGGGCGGGTTACATACCAAGTGGCTCAGGTCACCTTTCCTTGGCCAGAGCAAGGAATGGCCCTCACAGAAGGTGAGTGGGTCACGGGGGTAGAGGCCAAGCCCCAGTGCAGAAGGAGGGAAAGGGGGAATACTTAATAACTTAGGACCACTGGCTACCCAGCGTGGTCCTAGATGAGCGCTCCCAGGCCTTTTATGTACAGTAAGAGCCAGAACGAGACAGGAACCTCGTCAAACCTCCTAGTGCTGGCAGTGAAGGGTTGAAGCGGCAGAAGAGCGGCCAGAGAGGAAGAGGCTGAAGGAGGAAGGCACTCGTAGCACTGGGTGGAGGTCCACGGCGTGCCGGCGCTCTGGAGGTCGTTGGGGAGAAAAATGAAAAGAGACGAGTAGATTTAGCAACAGGAGAATCGTTGTCTTTGATTTGTTCCGGGGGAATCAGATGCAAAGGCGGCAGGAAGGTCGGGGATGAGGGGAAGGACAGCGGGGCCGAGGGTTGGGAGGGAGCCCGAAGCACCAGGACAGCAGCAGGGATGCGGGCAGAGGGTTTTATTGACTTTGTTTGTTTCTGGTTGAGAAAATTGAAAAATTATTCATGCTTTCCATAAAAGAAGAGAGGGCCCTAGTTTATAAAGGAGAAGCTGCGGTCTGTGGAAGAACGCGTTCCACGGCCATCCTGCAGTCACTTCAGGTCACCGAAGAGAAGATTCTGTGGTCCCTGGGGGAAGAGCTGTTGTGTGCAGTGGGGCGTGGCTCCGTGGCTCTGGACACATGTGGACGGTCCTCAGTCCGTCAGCCGGGGTATCCTTGCTATCGCTCCGTAGTGCCTTTATTCCCTGCCTTCCCGTAGCGTGCGGAGGAGGGACCTGCTCATTTGTGAAACGTCTGTGCGCTTCTGGGATGGAGGCACTGCGGGAGGAGAGCAGTGCTGACGGGTGGGGGAGAAGCCAGTGATAACAGTCATTCAGGTGGGGAGAGGGATGCACAGCATGGCCGGAGTTGGAGAGGAGTCGCCAAATGATTCAGCCTCATCAGTTCTTGAGTGATGGAAGGACCCAACAGCTGCTGGGATTCTTAAGTTTGTAATGGAGCCAGTAAGGAGTATGTGGCTTTCTCAGGCCGATGTTCAAGAGCCCCAGAGCAGAAGCAGAGACATGGGCGGAGAAATGGCTGGTCCAGAGTGACAGGTGGTGGGGCAGGCGAGTCAGGGAACTTGCACAGTCGCAGGTACACACAGTTGGCGGTACTCAACATCCTGGCCCGCTCGTAGGGCCCCTGTTCCCCTTCGTGGAGTCGTTGGTGAGGACTGTTGCACAGAGCCCTGTCTCCCCCTGGGAAAAGCGCCAGCCGTCCCCACGGGTCAGGGGATGTGCGTGTGACTTCCCTGTGGAGGCCGGAGGTGCTCATGCACCAGCATTTGTACCTGTCAGAATACCCTCCCAGAGCTGAGGAGAGGGATGTTCGCCATTTAACCAGTTTTGCTAGTTGCTTCATAAAACCTGTTTTTAAACTTGTCCTTCTGCCCATCCCATTTCCCAAGCCTTAATTTGGGCCTTTCTCCTTTTGTCTTCATTTTGTCTGTTTCGTTCTTCTCTAGCTGCTTGTCAGAAAGAAAACATCCAACAGAAAAATGAGGAGAAAAATGTGATCACTTGCCTCATCTTCTGCTGTGGCCACAGATGCCTGCACTCTACCCCAGGCATGCATTTTAAGAAACAGAGAAGGCAGTTTCTCTACCTGCTGCCTTAGCCACTTGTCTTACTCTGCGGCACCTCCCTATCCACACGGCCTTGTCTCGTGGCCCAGCTGAGTGGCCCTGGGCTGGTGACATCAGTGTTACCTCTGCCTGCACGGAGACTGCCCCGGGGTGTCTCTCCTAGACCTCCTGAATTGGAAATTGGGGGTGCAGCCAGCCCTGAGGGCTGGGACCCATACTGATAACTGAGAGCCACCGCCTCCTCAGTGGCCACGACAATCTGAGATGAAAAGAGAATTCGTAGGCAGGTGAACTAAGCTGCAACCAGATTCATCACTGACAGATGACCCATGTTAATTCACCCTTTCAGAGTGGTCCTTGGAATCTAAGTTGATCCTTTTATAGAATCAGAATATACAGCTTTAAGCTTATTACAAGGGTTTATCGGAATACTCTTTAAAATGTAGCACGTTTTATCTAGTTGTGTCGATTAATACCAAATCCTACGATGTTGTCCGATGGAGGAGAGTTCTGAGATATAGACCAGTTCTCGGGGCTCTTTTGCAGGACAAACATGCGTGCCTCCAGGACTCCCAGCAGGCGCAAGGCGGGGACAGGGGGTCTACCCAGTCTGAAATTGTTGTCTTAAAACCTCAAACAAAGCAAAAGTTTTTATTACTAAGGAGTTACTTTTATAATAATATTTGGTGAAAGTTTAAATTATAAGGAATACAACTTGAGTAATGGACTGTTGTATAAAGCCTAGCTTGAGATATATTTAATAAGATGATACTTGATTACATTTAAGAGGGAAAATTCTTACAGGAGGTTAAGAAAAATCAATTGTGACAGGCTGCCATTTTCATGCCATTCATAATAATAAGTTGCTCAGAGCAAGAGCATCAGGGATGAAATGGTAATACAGATTGCTTCAGGCAGTTATTGTAATCCCTTGGGCATATTGATTTGTGTTTCTAATAAAAAGATGCTTTCAGATGTCTCCCTGACAGACAGGATAGGTGCCATTATGTGAATTAGAGCTACTTCTTGTTCTCTGAATTATCGTAAAGGCATTTTCAGATAACAGAACAAAATAGAATCATCTATGCTGTACTTTGTAGGTTGAAATATCAAGGCTGTGTTGGAGAATAGCTTTCTTATTTTAAAAAGGACAGTTTATTAATATTTTAAAAGTTGTATTGACTTGTATTAAGATGTTACCATAGAATAACTTCCTTCTCTTTTTTCTTGTGGTTTCTTGTGTGCAATCATAGTACCCCTTAATTTTTCTAATAGTTGTCTTCTTGAGTAATAAAATATCCCTGGGTTTAAATATCTGTTTAGAAACGTGATCGTGTGCCTCGTGCACGTGCTGTGTGCTGTAGAATACGGCAACTGTAAATAACGAGACTTCAGGAATGCTGTATTTGGCTAACTGTTACTAATATTAACAAATCATAGTGTTTGAAAGCCTCATCGGGAAAAGATCAACAAGAGAAACAAGCCTACAATAACGTGGTTCAGCGGCATGCCGACAGGACCCAGGGTGGCTCTAGGGGTTATGGCCCCACATACCCCGCCTTTGCTGCGCTTGTGTGACTGCACACTTTCATATTGCAGCTGCTCACCATGAAAAGTTGTGTTTCTTCATCAGCATTGTGAATGTAGATAAACTTACAATTTCAGGAAAGCAATAAAGAGGCAAAATGCTAAATGGTTAAAAAGCAATCCTAATGATAACATCTGGGACATAATGCTCTATCAGAGTGTGCAGCAAATATCTACACCAGAAAACCTGGATTTAGTCCCTAAGTTCCTTTTAAGTATGAATTTGATTATAAAGCAGGTGTTCTAAATAGGAACACGAGCGTATCTGTTATTTAAATACTTTGTATGACTAAAAAGCCTTAGTTTTACATAAAGTTCTGAATGAGGAGGGCTTACTAATCATTTGTCGAAAACTACTCGAGAGTATTTTATCATTTCTGAGCAGTATAGTTAAATTCTTTATAACCAAAGTCTTAACAAAGAAGTACAGGGGCACCTGGGTGGCTCAGTTGGTTCAGCGTCTGACTCTTGATTTCGGCTCAGGTTGTGATCTCAGAGTCCTGGGATCCAGCCCCGAGTAGGGCTCCACGCTCAGCAGGGAATCTGCTTAGGATCCTCTCTCTCCTTCTCCCTCAGCTCCCCCACCTAGTGCCCGCTCCCTCTGTCTCTCTAAATAAGTAAATAAATCTTAAAAAACGAAAGAAGTATAGTTTATTCAAGAAGCAAATATTTTCATAATTGTCTTTGTTTTTTGAAATCCTTGTTTCCTTACTCCGAGCCTATAAAAACTTAGAAATTTGTGGAAGTTGTGATGCCTTTCGATCACAATGTTTCCATCTTTTATGAGCTCACAAAACTGAGTACTTACCATCATCAGATAATCCTGAAGTCTTTTTTGGTGGAAGCCATTTTGGACAGGTGAGAAATGGGATCTGGAATATCTAGTAGAACCGAGAGTAAGGAGTAAGACCAGTTTTAAAACTTTGGGACAGGAACTGAAGGAAGGTGGAGTGTGGGTGACGTTGGTATGAGTGGAGACTGGGAAGGGGGGTAATGAGGTTTTCCTGTTGCTTTGAGATTCCCAGAGTCATGTCTTCTTCCCAAGAGGGCTGTGGTGGGTCTGAGTGGTACAGACCCACAGTGCAACTGTGCACACGGGGGCCTCCTCCAGATCAGGAACAGGTTGTGTGCACGGTGTGGGTTCAGAAGCGGACTTTCCTGGGGGTAAATTCCAAGCCAGGCCAGCTAGAAGGGAAGGCCACATGGGCTCCTTCCTGTGTCCTGGGAAGGCCTACTGTGCAGCGCGTTCGGCCCCTGCGTTGGCTCCTCGTTAGAGAGAGAAGCTGGTCCTCGATGGGGACATGGACTAGCCAGCACTTGGCAGGCCGTGCAGGGTGCTTGTCCTGGGGGCTGAGGTCTCGGTGGGTTTGGAGGCCCGCTGGCTCCTTGTGCAGGGCGCCTCCAGCTTGCTGCCCGGGCCCCAAGCCTGTCCCCCGGAGAGCTGGCCCCACGCTGGCCACCATGACCGTGTCAGACCTCTGGCATAGCGCCCAGCACGTGTGCTGAATGATTAGATAGTTTTACTAAGGAGCTGATTGTCTTTTTTCCCCTCCATAGTTAATTTTTTCTAAGCGACAATTTTTTTAAAAATATTCCTCAGAAACAAATCTTAAAACATCTGGTTTCAACTTAATTGTCTTCTCATACATCTGAAAATATATTCTGAATGCTACCGTTTTTTAAAAAATTTGAGTTGTCGTTAGA